AGGTAGGCCAGGAACAGAAGGAGGAAACTATAGTGGAAACAGGGAGATGGTAGCAGGGTGAAAAGTTTTGAAGTCATTACATGGCTTTGCCTTTCACCTTGAGGGTCCTGAGAGCCAGTACAGTCCAGCATCCTGAGGGGAGTGATATGACCCTGATTAACTGGGAGAGAATTACCAGAGTCATGTGCTAGAAAAAGAAGGAGGGCATGCCCACTCCTCGGGTTATGCAGGTTGTTCAAGGACAACTTACGTAAGTTAATGAGCTTTATTGTCTTTACTTTTGATTCTAGACTCTGACAATATTTTACGTAATAAAATAGAGTAATCTGATGGGCTGAGCAGAGGAGGCTGGTTTTAGAGACAGAGAAGGGCTGAAAAACTCAGACCCAAAGAACAAAGAACAAACTGATCACCTTACATTTATTTTCCATGTGAGACGGGCACAGGGAACAAATAATAGAAGAATAACTTATTGGTTAACAACATGTCACTTCTTTTGTGAAAGAATTAAAGCAGACGGACTTCAGTAACATGAGCTTTGGAAATAGCCTGTTTGGAAAATTTGGCTGCCACTTCTCTTTCTCCTGATTTCTCCAAAATTCAGACAACACCTTAGTTCTGTTTGGTGACCTGGAAATTTAGCATTGGTGACTCCATTTTGATATTTAGTCTGGTCTATGGGAGCCAGGAACCTAGTCTGAAACAATGACCTCTTACTGTTTTTGTGACCTACTAATGTGCCTCTTGGCCTCCGAAAGGGTAAGGAAGGCGCTCAGGGATACACAGCTGACAGCGGCAGTCCTGGAATTCACTCCAGGTCACCAAGTTCAAATCCACACAGCAGCACTGCCATCCAGAAGACCCAGAGAGAAAAAGCTCATTCCCCCGAAGGGACAAGGACAGCAGTCAGGAGTGGGGAATGAGAGCAGAAAATCCACAGCATCCAAGATATAGGAGCCAGAGAGGAAGCTTTCAAGCCCTTGACTCTGGGGTCCCATCTGGCTCAGCTCTTATCCTAAGCATCCATGTCCCCACCGAGCCTCTCCTCTCTCCTTCATTCCAAATATAGACTCCCCTGAAGTTTCATTTTTCATTTCCATTTTAGCACCCAAGATGAGCTGGTGTTTCCAAATTGAAATCTACCCTGGCATAAGAAAGGAAATAATTATAGAAGCTACAAACCTCATCCAAATAGGTAGGTCTGCACGTGCTCTGGACTGCTGGGGCCTCCGCAGCCTCTCAGACGCACATGCTCTGGACATCTCGTGCCCACCTGTCCTCTACCTGCTCCTTGCTGAGCCCTGGGCTCTGCCTGCTCTGCCTATCCTGCCAGCTTCTGTTGCTGTGGCCCCTTTAGCTCTCTCCAGGCCCTCATGGCTTTCGATATCCCTGCAATTCTGTCACACTTGCTCGCCTTTGGATTCTTTTAGGTAGAAAATAAGTTGTAGGAGGTCAAGGTCAGGTATGCCTTGTTCACTGGTACATGTTAGGCTTTCCATAAATATGTGTTGTTTGGTGCCATTTTCGCAAACCACCAGACAAATGCAAAAGATGTTTCCTAATCAAAACATGTTTTCCTTACTTCCCAGGAGTTCTAACAAATCTTTCTAGTCTTTGCTGAAAATTTAACTAAAATCCAGAAAATGCTTCATTCCCTGAGGGCTGAATACCCATTCAGCCCGCTTTTGGAGCCAATATGCAACTTCCTTTCAGTGCCACCAGGGATAGGAACAGGAGAAGCTAGGATGAATTATTGAAGCCCCGATGGAAGGCTGAGGGGAGCTGATTCTGATGCAGATTAACACAAATACACAGGGGTCCCACACCCCTCTCTGTGACCTAGTATGAATAGACATAGTACAAGGATCAAATAGCACAAGAATCGCCCAGCTCACCCAACCCTTGTGTGCATTCACAAAATCAAGAAAAAGCTGATATTCAAGGCAAAACTATTCCTCTACTCAACACTGCTGATAGCAAATGTCTGGATTTTTTCCATACCAACAACAAATTCACCAATTCTCTGAATACCACTGGGTGTTGTCTCATTCACTTCAGTTTCACTTCTGACACTGCCCATCTGGAGCCAGCATCTGACCCCAAGTTTAGGGGCTCAGTGCCACAAGACTGCTTCCACTCCAGGGGCAGTCGCTAGTCCCAGGCCTCTAGAACTTCTGTCTGTACTAGCTAAAAATCAGAAGTGTCTGTGAGCTCCTTAACAGTTTTTACTTCAGCTCACAGAACACAAGAAAGCACTTTGCTTATATTTACTGGCTTACTATACAGCGTATTATGGATACGAATAGTCAGCTAGATGAAAATGTACAGAGATGAAGTCCAGAAGGGTTCAAATCACAGGAGCTTCTGTCCCATGTGGAGTTTGGGGTGCACCAACCTCCTGGCATGTGGATGAACTTAACAATCAGAAAATCTTTGAACCCCATTGTTTAGAGGTTTTATAGAGAATCCATTCCATAGACATGACTGATTATTTGTTGGTTATTGATGATTAACGCAGTCTCCAGCCCCCTTGTCCTGGAGGTTGGAGGATGGAGCTGTAAGTTCTGAATCTCTAATCACATGTTTGCTTGATTCCTCTGGTGACCAGCCCCATCCTCCTTGTGGCATCTCATCAACACAAACTCACAGACACTTGAAAGAGGCATGTTATGTGATGAGTTCTGCCCATATGGTACTCAGAATGGCACCTGCCCAACCTGGTGCTGGGCCCTAGCATTCTTCTGCCAAACCCAAAATTGAACTTCCCGATTTTTGTGCATGCCAACATTCATCCAATCAGCTATCGACACGTTATTCTGCCCGCCCCTTCAAACTCCATCCCCTGTCAAATCCAATAATAGCCCCACCGATTTTTGTCTGCCTGGGAGGGAACTCGCACTCTTCTGCAGCCTTAGAGTGCTAACAATGAAGGCCTTTTTCCTTTTTTCTTTTTTTGTCTTTGTCTGTTTGCCACACTAAGGAAAAACCTAAAATTATGGGTAACAGAGCATACTCCTATCACTCAGAAAGTTCCAAGGGTTTTAGTAGCTTTGGGAACCAGAGATGAAGAAATATGTAATTTCATTGCAGGGGGTAAAAGACAGAGAAGGGGGGAAGATATATAATCACTTAACAGGTATGGGTAGGAACCAAGGGAAAACTTCTCCACATTGTTAAATATATGCTGAAATCTTGACTCAAAACCCCAGGTGGTCAAATACCAAGATACTGTTGTATTCAGCTTATGAATGAACTTTCTAGATTATTATCACCAGTCTAGAAGCTTCTTGTCTCCAAGTATCTTCGTATCTCAAAACTTTCCCTACCTGCCTCACTTATCCAGAGCTAACGTAGTTTCAATGTAAACAATGTATTTCTTCCCCTAAATTTCATTATTAAAGTACTCTTGATTCTTAGGTCCAGTGGATTTTTTTCCAAGTGCTCTTTAATGTTCAGAACATCTTGGGCTCCTAGTCCTATTCTGACAACTATTTTCTAAAGACTCAATAAACCCTTTTATTTCAAAGAGCTTCATTCTCAGGAGTATTGGGTTAATATAACCAATTCCACCTTTTATAGAAAAAGAGACCAGAAAGACCGTGTTTTGTTTGGGATCTTGCTGGTTCAGTATCTCAGCACCTATACAGCCTTATAGTAGACTCTGTCATGGACACACACACACACACACACACACACACACACACACACCGGCAGTACTGCCAGCTGTCCAGTGGCTGGAGCATTCTCAGCACATAGCTCCCTGCTCTCTCCACAACAGGTCACCTGTCAGGAGGTCAGTGCTCATGGTCACATCAAAGCCCATCTCCCAATCCCAAATGAAGGTGAGAGTCAACAGATCTGGACATTTCTGGGTGACATGGGCAGCCTGTGAGCAGTGTTGATCCTGCTTTCCTGTGTCATGAGCTAGAGCTCTGTGGGTTCATCCACAGCTCTCCTTCACTGGCCCACGCCTATTTACTGCCTCTTATCTTCTCAAGGGATGGCCAATAAACATCTTTAGCCCTCAACTCTATATAGTATCTGCTCCTAGAGAACCCAACCCGTGACCCTGCAGGTTCTCCACTCCCAATCCACTGCTTACTTCCCTGAGAATCACAGATAGGCTTTTTAAAGCCTGAAGAATAGACCCTCAACACATCTTTGCCTGAGGCAAAACAGGGCAGAGATCACAGGGTTTCTATTATGCCAAAATCTCTCCAAGGTAAATGCTGCTGCGTGCAGGCATCTAAGGCCCTGGAGTTGCTGCTATTTATATTTAATGTGCAAACACTTGGAGGAGGGCTGCGTGTGGAAATCAGATCAAAACATTTATCCTCACTGTGTCTTGGAAAAAAAACTTATTAGCTGGCTGTATAGTGATATTCAAGAGAGTGAAAAAATGGAGGGAAAGTAAAAGGAGGGAAATAATCGTTTGCTGCTAGATAGAATAAAGCAAGCCCCTCAGAGAGCCAGGGCAGCTGGTGGCCACTATAATATATTGTTATGCATCACCACCAAAGCACTTGTAGAGCAACTGCAGACCATGTCTGACATTGCCTCCACTGACCTTTTCAATATTGCCCAAGCGCAGTGGAGCTGGTGTTTCTGGAGGAATTCAAATCGAAATGTACTCAGGCAGAAAGGATTTGGCTGTGGGCAAACCCTATCAGTCTCGTCACGTTTAGACTTGTCATTCTCATGTAAATTGCAATTCTTTATTAGCATGGCGAGTCTTCCGCCCAGGTGCAGGATGCACTCCTCTCAATGCAGCGAGGCTGCATCTGCCTGCACTGCAAAGCTGGGTTGCTCTAGGGATGATACCAACACAGATCCCGTGTCCCCAGATGGGGAGAGAAGAGGAACCTGCCAGGGCCCCACTTCAAATCACAAAAGGAGGATTTGACATTCAGAAAGAAAGGGAGGGCTAAAGTTTGCCATTTTGTAAGTTTTAGAGCTTCTTTTTATAAGTTCCCAAGTACACCATCCTCCTCATTCCTCACCTCCACATGTTCCTTGGCAGAGGAGAGGAACAGAGAGCTGCCCCGGGAGGCAGAGGCAACCTGAGGGAGCCTGGGAGTTCAAGGTGGTGATGCCATCCATGGGTTACATAATTCTTCTCTTCCACTGAAGGCAGAGCCAGAAGGATGAGGGGATCCAGCTTGAGAGTGCCTGTCTGTGAAGAGCCGGGTACTCCAGGTCTCCTTCCAAAGGCTTTGCTTATTCCTATCCCCTGCTTCCCCTGCTGCAATATGGTGCTTCTCCAAGAGTGGTTCCCAGGCCAGTAGCACCTGTAACACCAGAGGACTCAGCATAAGTGCAAAGCAAACTCTCAGGTCATACACACACACACACACACACACACACACACAGAGAGAGAGAGAGAGAGAGAGAGAGAGAGAGAGAGAGAGAGAGAGAACCCAGCAATCTGAGTTTGGCAGGCTTTCTAAGTAATTCTGTTAAGCGCCAAAGTGGAAGAATCACTGCATCAGTGAAAGCTTCTTTCCTCTCTCTCTCTAACACAATCTGTGTTTAGCTCAGGGAATTTTAGCCAAGTAAGGAGGTGGAACAGACGTAACTCACCACTGTCACTACCTTAGAGGCTCTCTAGCAGCAGATACTACATAGAGTTGAGGGGTAAAGTGTTTATGGAGATCCCTTGTGAAAAAAAGAGGCAGTAAATAACCGTGGGCCAGTGAAGGAGAGCAGTGGATGAACACACAGAGCTCTAGCTCATGACACAGGAAAGCAGGATCAACAGTACCCACAGGCTGCCCGTGTCACCCAGAAATGTCTGGGTTAATTGACCCTCACTTTCATTTGGGATTGGGAGGTGGGCTGTGAGCCCCTTAGAGCCTGCCTTAAAACATGCAACAGAATACTTGAGATTAGGTGATTTGTATACAATATAAATATGTTTGCCTTATAGTTTGGAGTCTGAGAAGTCCAAAAGTGTGGTGCTGGCAACTGGCAAAGGCCTTTGTGCTGAGTTATAAAATAACAGAAAAACAAAGGAGCATGCACAAGGCAGGAAATGGGACCATACTCACCTTTTGTAGCAGGAACCCACTCCTGCAATATCTAATCCACTTCTTCAGTAGTAGCATTGATTTCTTCCTGAGAGTGGTGCCATCATGACCTAATCATCTTTTAAAGATTGCACCACTTAATACTGTTCTGATGACAAATTTCAACCTGGAGGAGACATTCAAACCACAGCAGAGGTGTCTCAGGGGTAGAGTGAATGGTGTGTTTCAGAAAACAATCAACAACTTAGTTTCAGAATGAGAACCAAGGAATAAGAAGAAAAAGATTCAAGATACTGAATTCCAGAATCAGATTTTCAAAGATGAATGATAGGCAGAGCTCAGAATTACAGACAAACCAGAATCACAGCCTCGCTGGGATGCTTAAAGGCAGATGAGCCTCCTGGGGAAGTATTCACATGAAGGGAATCTGAGCACTGTGATCTTGAAGGTCTTGATCTTGTTCTACATGGAACATTCTTGCCTGGCCATTTGCTACATAAAACAAAGCTGTCCCTGCTTGGCATGGGTCCTTGCTTTGGTAGAAATGGAAATCAAAAGTAAAACACAGATTTCCAAAGGGGAAAAGCTTAAACTGGAACATCAGTGGAAAGATAAGAAAGGACTCCAGCTAAATAGGACACACTTGGATATGGGAGTTCAGCCGAGCACACCCACAAAGACAGGAGGCCAGCCGCTCAAGGGTCAGCTGGAGGGCTGGAGAGGGGCCAACCACCACTTCACTCCCAGCATCACAGCTCTGGAATCCTCATGGCTAAGGAATGGCCCATTTCACAGGAAAGGATCATCTCTCTCTGGTGGACCCAGTCTTGGAGGGCTCCCTCCCACCCCAAATTCAGGTGATCACAGATTCCAGGCAATGGCTGGAGACTTCTACCAAATGTCCCCACAGATCTCCCATTCCTGTGCCCTCAGTCCTGAAGGAAGATGAAATCATGCAAATGCAGGGCCAGTCAACCCCATCCAGCCAGCTCCTAAACAGACACCCCTCAAATGATCAACACAACCCTTGAAAAGCTGAAAAGAGACTTGACCAAGATCCATAGCAACAATGATACAAAATGAAATCGAACCTCACTCTGTGCCTAGTTACCCATTAAGTATCCACAACCCAAGGGAAAAGCCGTGACCCATAGCAAAAATGACTCTCACTTGCCAGAAGAAAACACAAACCATGTTTCCAATGAAGAGTAGCAGAGATTCTAGGATTCTGCCTATTCCTCATCCTCACTGTGGTCCCCAACCATGTTGTGACTGTCCCAGCTGGAGATGGACAGCAGCTGCCAAGGGTCTGCAGGAACAGACTAGGAGAGATGGATACCCTTGCCAGGTGGGTACCAGGGCCTAGTCTCATCAAGAGCATGGAAGCAGCAGCTCAGCAGAGAGACAGGACACAGAGCAGGTAACCCACTGCAGCTGACTGAGGTCTGATTGACACATCCTGTACCCATTCGTGTTGGCTCAGGATCTAGTGAGATTCTTTTTGGTAGAAAAAAGCATCAGACACCCTCATAAGTAACAGCGATAAGAACAAGAGTGGATAGCTCCAACACAGCCTGGAGGAATTTACCCACGGCCAGGCATGGTGACCCACACCTGTAATTCTAGCACTCGGAAGGCTGAGGCAGGAGGATGGCAGCGAGTTTGAGGCCAGCCTGTGATACATAGTGATGCAAGGCCAGCCTGAACTATACAGTGAGACCTTGACTCAAAAAAAAAAAAAAGAAAAAAAAAAAAGATTAAACCTAATTCAAGGATTTTTCCCCCCAAATGAGGAGACTCAGGAGTTCACTGAGGTAAATACAAGAAATTCCCTCTGCTTTAACAGTGCTTATAAACAAAGCAGAAAAGATTTCCAAGACATGAAAAAAAAAAAAACAGGAAAACAACATTTTGTCAACTTCAGTGTAAATTAATAAAAAATGCATGAACACATTTCTCTAAAAATGTACACAGCTCTGAAAACCAAAGGGAGAAGAAGCTGTAAGGTCTGACTGGGGTTTGGCAGAATTCCACATGTTTGGGAATGAGATGCAGATTCAGGAAACAGGTTTTTCCTATTATCTTTCTTTTTTTCCACTCATATTCCTTGGAATTCAGAGTAGAGGGGAAAGACTTAACAGACATCTCCTGACCACTCTCATTTAAGATACTGAAAAAGCAGAGCCTGGGGAAGTGAAGTAATGGTGTAGTTTCACAAATAAGTAACAGCAAACTTTAGAGAACTTGGGGGCCAGAGCAGTATATGGGGACAGTCTAAATCGAGGACATGCCTTTTCTTCTTTGTGTCTCCCAGCAACACTCCAGAGACCATGGCCACAAACCCACTGATCTTTTGGTGCACTCAGACAAGCCTTTAGCACCCTGTAAAAAAGAACACAGTGGATTCGTGCTGGTATCAGGCCAGGCACAGCTTGGCTACACTAGGACAACCGTCCCACACTACAGGGACTGTGCCTTCCACCTCTGTAACATGAAACACAAAAAGTCTGGGAGGGAGAGTCATTGACAAGACACTTCACAGTTCCTCAAGGAAATGCTAAGAGAAATTCACGGATGATTTTGAAATGGTGAAAGGATCAGTTCTTCAGAACCCGTAATCCAAAATACAGACTTACCAAACAGCAGAGCCTCAAGACACGTAAATCAGAAAGATCACACAGCAAAGAGAAATAGACAGTCCACAGTTATAGCCGCAAACTTCAACAGCCATCAGCCTCTGGCATTGGTGCAACTACTGAAAACAGAATCTGCAAGAATATAGGAGAATTAAACAACACGATTAAGGAGCAGGATTTAGTTGAACATGCAGACCTTCTACCATTAGCAGAACATCCAATTTTTAAAGTCAAGGACACAATCTGAGTAATTCTTTTCAAGATAATCATGCAAAATAACAACCTTAGTTATGTTCCTATCACCTTGTTTTGAAAGCCGACATTGTTATTGTTTTGGGTCTTTGTTATTATTTGTCTTTTTTTGCTTCTTATTTTTCTTGTATTTTGTTTTGTTTTGTTTTTCCCTCTAATACAGAAAGGATAGATATACATGCATAGCTTATACATGCCTAGATCTTCTCCTAAATAATTTAAAATTACTGATTTTATTATGTGTAATGGTATGTAAAGGCTACTTAGAAGAAAACAAGACATTATGGTAGCCATTGCTGATTTTCTGTCATCTTGTTTTGAACTCCAATAATGCTTTTATTCTTTGTTTTGATTATTTTAGTCTGTTTTCTATTATTTGGTTTCAGTATGTGTGAAGGTGTGGACAGTTATTTTGGAGAGAACAGGAGACATTCTGATAGCCGTTGTTGATTATCCTATTGTCTGGTTTTGAAGGCTGGTAATGCCTTCATTCTCTAGTTTTGATCAGTTGTATACTGCTTTGTTTTGTTTGAACTCACTGTGTATGAAGATGACAACTACTTCCGGGAGAACAGGAGGCGTTGTGGGAGCCATGGTTGATTTCTTATTGTCTTGTTTTGAAATCCTACGTTGCTTGCATTGTTTTATTCTGATCTGCTATGTTCTCTTTTGTTTTGTTGTGGTTGCATTTAAGTCTATCACTTCTGCCTCTGCCATTTGTTTTGCATTTTTTCCTTTTTTTTTTTTTTTTTTTTTTTTTTGGTGGTGGGGTGCTACAGTCGGAACCCAAGCCTTCACACTGAGCTACATCTCCACCTTTTTTAAATTTTCGAGTCAATGTTTTACTAAGTTGTTAATGGTCCATTCTGGGCTTAAATCTAATTCTTTTGCCTCAATTTCCCAGAGTGCTGTGATTACAGGTGCGTGCCACCACACCTGGCCCATTTTTGTTTTCCTATTCTCCTATCATTTACTTTCCTTTATTAACTTCTTGTAACTTAACTTAGTACTTTATTATTCCATTTTAGATCTTGTATTTTTTCATCTTAGCATCATATATTTTCCCATATTTATGACTTCGATTTGGAACTTTTGAAGCATATTTAATCATTCTACTTAACTTTCCAAAATGTGTAATAGAATTACAAAATCTAGGTTAGTAACCTTATCTGCTAATTCTAACATTTGTGTCATTTTGGGATTATTTTGATTGATTGATTAATTGATTGATCAATCGATTGATCTCTTCAGATATAAACCATGTTTCCCTGCTTCCTTGTGTGCCTCGTGATATTTATTGCATGACAGACTAAATTTTCCTGTTGGATGATGAGATCTTTAGAATCATATGACTATTTTTGAGCCTTGTTCTAGGATGCAATTAAATTATTGGGACTCATCTGATCTTTTGGGGTCTTAATTGTAAGATCTGTTAGTCAGGTCAGGAGGCAGACTCAAGCAAAAGTGAATTAACCCCAAATACTGAGGCAAAACCTTCCAAATGTCCTACCTATGTCCAGTGAATTATAAAACTTTTCAATCTGATTCGTGGAAATAGGCATTTTTCCTGACCTTACGTGAACTATTTTTCCACCTCATGATGCCTTCTGGGTTTCTCCTGGGTTCCCTTTCCCTGCACTGCACCCTAAAAACTCAAGCTAGTATACTGAAGCAAATGTAGATTCACCTCACAATCTTGTCTCCCAGTGATCACTGTCCTTTTAAAACCATTGTTTTATGTATTAGGTCTGAGTTCATTTTACTTGTTTCTGGCAGGACTGCAAATCCCATCTTTGTCACCCCATCTTGGGCGAAAGTCCTACGAGAAGTTTAACTTGGGGTCACAGACCAGCTGCAGAAATCTAAGCAAAGAGGTCAGAGCTCAGAAAGCATACAGAACCCAGCACGAATGTCCTCTATGGAAGGCTTGTCTAGTGCCATGATGAGCAATCAGCAGTTTGTTTGTTTTGTTCTCTAATACTGGGAATTAAATCTAGGACATTTTGCTACAAGGTCTTTCTAAATCACCCAAGCCAGCCTGAAGCTTTACAGTCTCCTGTCTCAGCCTCCCAGAGTGCTGAGATTGCAGATGAGCAAAACTATACCATGTATAAATAGCAATTTTATCAGTCATGTTTAATCGCACCTGTGATGTGAAAGTGAAAATCAATATCTTCTCTTTATACTCATACTGGCTCAAGAGAGGGGAGGGAAAAAAGTTCAAATTTTTATTTACTATAGAGTTTGTTTATTTTTATTGCATGTAGTTCATTGATTCAGTATTTTAATTTCAATAATTTATTATGACCAGCATAGAACAATAACATCACTTTCAAAATAACTTTTAAAATAAAAATATTGAGAATAACTGAGACTATCTAGCCCTTATAATTTGCAAAGCTATTTTATATGCATTTCCATATTCATTAGCATTACTAATTCTGAGACAAAATACCCAACACCCACAATTTAAAGGAGGAGAGATTTATTTTGGTTCACAGTTT